TTAAGCCCGAATAAACCATAAACCTTTGCTTTTGCATTTTGGTGTGTTGGGTCCTTGGTGGTCTTTTTGGGGGTCCAGTGGATGAGGTACAACACTATTAAAATATTTAGAGTCTACCACGGCTAATGGGCAGAATCTAAAACAATAAGAGACTTCTCTCTAAAAGAATAACCCGGTGAGTTGTATAAACTTTCATTTTCCTACATCAAAAACTAGAAAGATTGGGGCTGGAGAGATGGCCGAGTGTTGGGTCCTTGGTGGTCTTTTTGGGGGTCCAGTGGATGAGGTACAACACTATTAAAATATTTAGAGTCTACCACGGCTAATGGGCAGAATCTAAAACAATAAGAGACTTCTCTCTAAAAGAATAACCCGGTGAGTTGTATAAACTTTCATTTTCCTACATCAAAAACTAGAAAGATTGGGGCTGGAGAGATGGCCGAGCAGTTACGAGCACTGGCTGCTCTTGTGTAGGACCTGGGTTTGTGTCCCACAAAGTGACTAACAGCCATCCTTACCTCTAGTTCCAGGGGATCCAATGCCCTCTTGTGGGTACTGCATTAGTGCTCTTACATGCATGCAGGCAAAGCACTCATACACATTAACATTTTTTAGATTAAAAATATTGATTACCTCCTTGTGGACATACAACACGTGGCTGTACAAATGATGGCTTCACAACTTCAAACCACCAGAAGAGTTCTGCCATGAACACCAAGTAATTACTCTATAGAGAAAGTTAAGAAATTAAAAGAAACTCCAAAATAGGTAAAACTACCACATAACAATTATACACAGAATTATGGCTTATCCTCTCTAATACAGATTTAGATTGCAATTATTCATAATTGGAAAATGTTTATTATTCTCTATTAAACCTGGAATTAAATGTTAGCTCTTGTGCTTAAATATTCTTATTCAAACCTCTGATAATTTGTTTTATAGTTCCAGAACAGTGGTTTAATCTATTTACCAGCCATTAATAATCTCTAGCTATGTAGAACTTTGAAATAATACAAAAGGCACTTTTCTTGCAATGTAAGTATAAACAACTTAAACAGTCTGAAGAATAATTACTATTAAAAAATAGTTAAGATCCCTAGAAATTCCTTTAAAAAGTAATTAAGTATATGATTTAAATTATTGTATCCACATGCTTATTAATACTAAATTCAGTAGTAATCCAGGTGCTCAGTAAAACAAAACTCTAGATTATTATGGCTAAAATATATTTGAAATGTAAAAAAGAAACACTGTACAATTTAATACATCCCTCTAATTTTAAAGAGATTAATAAAGATAAACCAACAACCTTTTATTATTTATACTTGAAAATGCGAGTAATTCTCTAAATATCTTAAAAGAGCCCTCAAAAATCACAGTTCCACTAGGGTTGTGTGTGTATGTGTGTGTGTGTGTGTGTGTGTGTGTGTACACATATATGTAAATACATATATATTGTTGTTTTTTTTTTAAACAGTCTTTCTACATAGACTCAAAGGGCCTTAAACTCATGAACCTCCTGCCTCAGTCTCCTGAGTCCTGGGATCATGGATGTGCCCTACCACACCAGATTTACTTATATTTTAAAATGCATAAATCATTAAAGATATGAACAAGAAATTATTTCAATTTTAGGTATTGAAAATATTTTTTAAAAATAGCACTGTACAAGTAGGGCGTGGTGGTGTACACTTTTAAGCCCAGCACTTGGAAGGCAAAGGCAGGTGGATGTCTGTGAGACCAAGGCCAGCCTGGTCTACATAAAGAATTCCAGGCCAGCTGGGGCTACAGGGAGACCCTGGCTCAAATAAAAAAAAAAAAAAACACACACACACACACAAAAACAAAACTAACAACAACAAAAGCACTGTACAAAATCTATTTTCATATTTACAGGTATCTGATTTCTTACTCAATTTCATTTAAAAATTATCACTGGGAAAATGGGTGTCTTCTGATGTCTTGCCCTCTGCATATTTATTTTGAACAATCCTCAAGACGCTAAACATAAGCATGTTTCCTTAGACTAAATGCACTTTCTTTGAGTGGTTTTTTGTTTTTTGTTTTTATTTTTTTTGTATTTAAGCAGGTAACTCTGACATATTCATCTGTCAATTTATAGCTCCAGAAAGGAAAAAGAAGAACCAAGGATGACATTGAAGTCTTTGTTTTGATCAACTGTTACTGCCATTTAATAAAATAGAGACCAGTTGGAAAAATAGGTTGTGAAAGTAATTGTGAGTTACTATCTTTGACACTTTGACCATAGAGTTCAGTGTACTTGTTAAGCGTGAGATCTGAGTAACGTGTTACAGAGGATAACACACAACTGCAAAAAGAATTTCTTAATTTCCTACTTTGATTCTCAATATGTGTTTTCAATGTAAATTACCATGAAATAAAAATGCTTATATATAAATAGCTACTATTTATTTTTTATATTTTATTGTTTTTATTTTGGTTGTATACGTGTATTGCCTGCATGTGTGTAAGCGCACCCATATCAATGCAATGCCCGCCCATGGACATCAGAAGGTGGCATGGGATCTCCTGGTACTAGAGTTACAAGACAATTGTTAGCTACCATGTGGGTGCTGGGAATTGAACCTAGGTCCTCTGCAAGAGCAGCCAGTGCTCTTAACTGCTGAGCCATCTCCAGTCTCAGAGCTACTAAAAACAACCATTAATTCTTTCTTTTTTCCTTCCTTTCTTTTTCACACATGGTCTCCCTGTAGACCCAGCTAGCCTGGGACTCCCTATGTAGATCAGACTAGCCTCCATCTCACAGAGAACCACCCGCCTCTGCCTCCCAAGAGCTGGAATTAAAGATGTGTGCCTGACTATTTTATTTAAGAAATGAGAATGTAGCCAGGTGGATCTCAGTTCCAAGAGATCTGATGCTCTTCTGGCCTCTGAAGTGCACTTTTGGGCATGCAGGTAAAATATTTAGAAACATAAAAATAAATAAATCACAAGTTCAAGTCCCGTTGGGGCTACAAGGAGAAACTGTGTCAAGAAGGAGGGAGGAAGTAAGTTTGAGAGGATAAATGTATAGGAAAGAGTATAATTAGAAATATAAAGCTTCTCAGAAGGCAAGCAGGGATGCAATCTGAGCACAGTAAGGGATTAAAAACATTCTTATTGTTTTTCTGTGTTTTTTTGAGACAGGGTTCTCATCAGGCATCCATCTGACTGGCCTGGAACTTGCTATGTAGACCATGCTAGTCTTGAACTCACAGAGATCCACCTGGCCACATTCTCATTTTTTAAATAAAAGCAGAGTCAGGAGTGGTGGTGCACACATTTAATCCCAGCACTTGGGAGGCAGGGACAAGGAGGATCTTTAAGAACAAATCTATCCATCTTTTCAAATGCTACATTATCTCGGGTTTGTCATCCTACACCCCAGACTAGGTCTAGAAAGGCAAAGGCTCATCATTACATACTCACTTGTTTAAAACACTTACTCGAACATTCTACATAAATATTTGTTAAAGAAACGTATACATCAATTGATATGTAAGACAAGTTAGCAAAACATCCAAATATTGATAAATGTGTTTTTGTCATGATGGTTACTCTTTACTGACAACATTATTGAATTGAGAAATAACTAGGAAGTTAGTAAAGCACAACTCCAGATGTGTCTGTGAGAGCACTTCTGGTGTGGATTAACTAAGTGAAGAAAGACACATCCCGAATGTGGACAACACCATACAATAAGTTGGTGGCTCAGAAGGAGTAAGAGATCAGCTAGCATAGGTATTCATTCTCTTTCCTTGCTTCTTGTCCATCATGAGATGAATAGTTTTGTTCCACCACACCTCTCCACCACAATGCTCAACCTTAACACAGGCCTACAACAGAGCCAACTGACCATGGGCTCACACCTCAAACTAAGTCAAATAAATCATTCCTCTCTCTGTTTTACGTGGGTATCTGTTAACAGCTAAAAAGCACTAACTAGCACACTGAGATAATTAATTTTTTTCCTTTATTCTTATCTTTATAGTAACTTTCCAAAGACAAAATATAAACTTTCTAAGTACTGGTACTAGGTTCCACTCCACTAGTACAGTTAACTGAAAGCTGAATTTTGGAAAAACACTGTATAAGTGCTCAATTATCTGCTGGTGGGAAAGGAATTAACATGTCAAGGACCTTATAAGAAGGTCCTAATAACAATGATAATGTTTGGCCATAAGATGGCAGAATAGTAAGAAATAATTTTGCTAGTAATTAAGCTCAAGAAGATTATTTCATTATAAAATTATGATTAAATGATAGTAAATTGGTCTCATATTATAGGAAATGGTACATAAATTTCATTAATTTAAGATTTTTCCTTCTTTTAAAGTCAGATACACCTACATTTCCTCCATATCCAATACCATACTTGGAAGAAATCACTCTTGTTTATATGTATCCTAAAGACTTTTTCTGTGAATCTATACATAGATATCCAGCATCCACCTGCAGTTGGTTCCAGGACCCCACATGGATACCAAAGACTCATAGATGCTCATATCCCTTATGTAAGATGGAGTAGTATTTGCATATAAGCTAGACTCATCCTTCCATAAAATACTTTTAAAATGTCCTTTTTATCATATTCATTTATTTATCTTGTCTCTGTGCACACATGCTTGTGGTGACCAGAAGACAATCTATGGGAATTGGTTTTCTTCCACAATGCAAGTTCTGGGGATTGAACTCAGGCCTTCAGGCTAGGCAGCAAGTACTCTTACCCACTGAGTCATCTCTCCAGTCCTTTACAACACTTTAAATCACCTCTTGATTACTAATACCTACTACAATGTTAATGCTATGTAAATAGTTATTACAGTAAATTTTTTAGTGAATAACGACTGGGAATATGGCTCAGCAGTTCTGGGTTTGATTCCCAGCCCTGATAGAAGAAAGGAGAAAGGCTTAAA